CAAGGTTAAAAGACCCTTTGGTACAGTGAGGTCGTTCTCAGCACAAACTCCAACAGCCTTCACAACCAAAGCCATCACTGCACCACGTTCCTTGCCTACAACATTCTAAACGTCAGTTCTGCTTTTCAGTAAGCTTCCATAGCACTGAGGCAGCTGAAATCTGAAGGGTGAAGAAATCCATAAACAGAAGCAAGGCACGAGTGACTGCAAACAAGCACTTCCAATGCTTCTGTTACTTCAACACGACTGATAGCAATACCACGAATATTCTTGCCATGGAACTGAGACAAAACTCATTTGTCACACACAAGGCCCATCAGAAAGCTTTTCTTTAAGAAGCCAGTATTTAGCTCCAGACCACCAGTCTAGAAGGCGTACTTCAAATTTCTTTTCTTTATGCCTATATTATGTGACAATATAATCTCCAATTATAGTATGGATTAATGTAAGACTGTGTTGGTAAGCTACAAAATCATTAAAAACACAGACACTAATGACCAGGCATTTTAAAAATCAATGTTAAAGACACGTGGGTTTTATCGCCAAGTAGCTCAATAAAACAGCAATGTTATGAAAATCAGTATTAAAAAAAAAAAGGTAAATTCAATCTAAAAACTTGCATTGCTCAGCCCCACTCGAATTTGGCATGCAGAGCCACGTGGTTCTGAGATCATTCAGAGAAACATTTCTGTTGTACCCGAATCACTCACTGCTATTCAACGTAAAGAAAAGAAACCGAGAAGATGAAAATCAATAAGACATCAAGATTACTCCAAAAGGCCAAGCTGTTCCAAGGAAAAATGCTTTCATCTCAGGCTGCTGAAAATTTCTGAAATAAATTCCACGAAGGAATAATCAATGTGTAATAAATTCCATCACTTAAGACAGATTCCAACGTGCCTGCCTGCAGCTCTGTACCAAAATCATTTAGAGATTTACATTTTCCACTTTGCAGACTGAAAGTGCTTTAACAGAATAGGAAAAAAAGTAAATCATGGGAAAGAAAAGTGACTTAATGACCCAGTGAAAACTCCCCCACCACAAGCAGCGTGCTGCTATCTTCTGACCTACTTCCATCACATGAGACTCTTCAGCAGGAACTGGAACCTACCAATTCTTGCATTAAGAACACCAAAAAAAAAGTTCTCTTTACTTCAGTTGCTGCATTAGAAGTCCACCACAGCACAGAATCCAGCACGGAATCAGAATCCAGCTGTCATACTTCAGCGATTTCTGCAGGTCTATCAGAAGTTAAGCTTACTTTAAAGCAGCAGAACATTCTCAGCAGTTGTCTTTGTTCCATGCAGCTACCAGAGCCCAGCACTCTGCAGCTTTCTTCTCTCGAGAGCTCCTTCTCACCTTCCTGTATATGCACAGCAAATTTAACTTGTTTTCAGCTATATCTTGCACACTGACAAGGTCTGATTGCCAAAGCATTTTAAAGCACAACGCCACTGTGACTTAACTGTGTATTTCACACTAAGCTGGGAGTGCACACAAGCAGCAGTCAAAGTGGGATACAGCTGACACTCATTGACCATTTCTGCAGTAAAATTGCTTAAGATCTGCCTGATGTTTTTCATCCTTGCCAGCCATTCCAAATAAAAAATGTGGTCTACTGACTTACACTTTCCTACTATCAACAGTTATAGTTTATAAAGCCGATGCCAAAAAATGGCTTCTCATAGACCTTATATGGCATTCCCTAAAACTAACACCAGATACATGTTTAAGCCACCCACTGACACCAACATTTATAGTCCTAAGAATGCTGTGCCTAGCCATGTTCCCTAACAGCACTAAGGAGCCTGCTTTCCATTTCATATTTGCTCTCTCTTTCACTGTCCCATAGCCTGCAAGGACAATAAGAGCTGATCCAGGCCTCCTATGAGCTGACCAGGTGACATCAGATGGTCCAAAAAGAAAGATCAGACAACAACATCTTAATTTTGGCTTTCCATTTCACACTTCTTAGCCTGGAAAATTATTTTCTCACAAATTATATTACTATATTACTGAATTATATTACTAGGAATCTGAAGTCTCTAACGCACATCTTACAAAGAGAAGGAGAAACATTTCCTTTTATGAAGCTACAAATAAGAGACTTGCCATTTTACTTTGAAATAGACAAAGGTGCACTCTTTCCTTACTTCAGCACATTCCTGCTGTGTTCAAAACCACAGGTATTTACAGACCTCCAAACAGCTGCTGCTCACAGGTTGGCTTTTCTCATGGTTCACAACAACTGCAGACATCTGTATCTGCACGCAAGCAAAGGCTCTCAGAAAGAAGTTTTACTGCCAGTATGCTTAGGTAAAGCACAGCAATAAGTAGTGCTAGATTCTAGTTATGATCTCCATTGAAACACACATCTCATGGTAAGTGACAGCGACATGCAGCTCTCAGATTTATGTCAGGTAACTGTGTTCTATAAGACCATGGCTCATCACCACCCTGACGATTCCTAAGTAAAAGAACTTCACCTTTCATTCTCCACTTTGTTATATCATCAAACCACTTTCGTTGCTTTGATCCATGTTCCACGTTAAGCACGTGGAAGAACTGAATTAAGTCACCTTGCTTATGCACCATTTCCATCAGAAAAAAAGTGGACACCCTTTAGTTTCCACTTAACATCTCAATATTGTTAGTCTCATTATCATAAAATCAATTCATCAAATATTCCATTACACAAAGAGACTGCTGACACCTTCTGGCCATTTGACATTCTGTACAAATACCAACAGAATTTCCATGAAAAAAATCTTTATGCTTTTCCAACCACTCAGAATCACATGAAGGCTTCAGCTATGCCTCCACTGCCATACGACAGCTGATCAGAGCCATTGGGTTCCCCTCTCACCCACATGCTCTCACTCATCCTTTGTCTTTCATAAAAGCATTCAGACCAGAGACTCTGACTGCTCCAACTACACCAAATGATCAGACACACCCCAAGATGTTTGCTCAATTTATCCTCTCTTTTTCACTTTCACTCCAGGTGTACCATATAAGGGACCAGTGCAACTGAATCACACGGGGTACTCAGACTGCTGTGCAACACCACAGGTAACAATCTATCCACACTGCACTGAATTAAACAGTGAAAACCGAGATGACCTACCTGGAGACTTTGTTTCTTTTTCTTTGGTTCAGTTTCTGACTCCAGCTCTCCCTTTTGGGTCACACGTTGCTTTAGCTTTTTTCTCTTCTCTTCTTTCATTTCTTTGGTTTGTATATTCTTCTTTGCCATTCTGAAGTAGAATATTACATAATTACCAACTATCAAACCACCATTACAACTCTTAATTTTGTAGGCTTTTTTTTAATCTTAAACATACAAATCTCATATACAGAGTCTACACTATACAAGAATTATATCTTGACTAGGAAAATGCTCGTTTGCACTGAACTTCAATTAACTTGGGGACATTTTCAGCTTTTTCCTCTCAGAATACAATCTAGTTCAGCTGCTGCAAAACCAGAATATCACTCCCTTGTAAAAAACTCCATGGCTACTCTGCTCTGTGAGAGCCCAACACCCACAGCTGATGCAGTGCTGCCTGCAGGCTATGCTGCACTCAGCAGCAGGTCAGCAGAGCTGTGCTGCACTGGGAGGCAGGTCAGTAGCACTGTGCTGCCTACAGGTGGCAAGGCACACAAGGGCTGCTCTGAAAGTAACGCCTCCTATTTTGTTACGTTGGCCCACAATATCAGACATGGATGTTGGTGGGATGGCAGTAAAAGCTGAACCTTCCCACCAAGATCCCACGAGATTTTACTGCTGGGTGACTGATGGCAGCAGAGGGGCCACCTGACATGGAAGTGAATACGAAGCAAAGGTACCTCTCTTAATCCCTTCACATAGAAGAAATGGCACTTGTTAATGATCACTGATGTTTGTGGACACCGCACAGTGGGTGTGAGCACAGCCAGGAGGTGGGCGGTGTGTTTCTGCAGTGGTGATGCCTACATTGGTGTAGATTTCCTACAAGCACGGCATGCAGGCTCTCGTTCAGTGGCGGTGAAAGTGCACAGCTCATGGTGGCTGTAACACGATGGCAAGTGCAACAGTGAGAGCAGAGCAGCAAGGGCCCAGGCTTCAGCAAGTGAGGGTTTGCTCAAATACAGCAGTCGTGGGCACGGAAATAAAAGAAAGGAGGCCTCAGGTAGGCAGGGATGCCCTCACCTCCACTGCCAGCCGTTACATGAGGGCTGGATCCCTCTGCTCACACAGCTGCACTGCACTGCATGCACCTGAGCCCCCCTGTGCCGGCCCTGCCTTCCCACCAGCTGTTCCATCACTGCCTCAAGCCATGACTCAGCATTTCTGCTACAGCGCTGCAGGTGCTGGCACACAGCGTTCCGTAGCTGAGAACTCGCTCTAATCCAGCAGCACTACGGCACTCCTCGCATCCGTCTCCATTTCCGCACGGAAAACTAGAAGGCACTACTTTCGGAGCACTCTCGTGCCCGGCCGGCGGCACCACGTGACTTCCCCCCCCAACCCCCCACGTGCCGTCGCACCGCGCGCCCCTCCGCTCGCGCAGCGCGCGCCAATCCCCACACATCGGCGGAGCCCCCGCGGCTCCGCTTCCCCGCCACACCGACACGAGCGGAACGCCACACGGCAGCCCCGCACCTGCGGCGAGGCAGAGAGAGGCCTCAGGGCCCCGCACCCGCCACGGATACGCGTAAGGAGGGCCCAAGGCGCCGCACGGCCGCGTCCCCGCACGCCGCCACGCACCTTTTCCCGGGCCCGCCTCCTCCGCACATTTAACTGAGCCTCACGCTTGGCGCCGCGGCCCGCCCCTTCTCTCCCATTGGCTGAGGTGAGGGAATCGGAGCATCCGGTTGGCTCCCGGCGTGCCAATCTTAGGAGCGACCAATAGGAATCGGAGTTCCGGTGTAGAACGCCCACTCAGAGCGCGCATGCTGGGAGCCCGGCCGGCTCGCGGAGGGCAGCTGTGACGTCATCTTCCCGCGCCGAGCTGCTCCGCGCGGCCGGCCGGCCGCCTCCACGTGGGGGGGCGCAGCGCTCGCCCCGCCCGCCGTTGCCCGGGTGAAGGCCGCCGTGCTCGGCACCTACCCGGAGCCTACGCAGCTATTGTGGGCGGATAGGAAACACCTCCCGGGGCAGGGCTTCCCGGAGCGTGCCAATGCCCATTGCTGTAAATGCCGCACGCACAAACATCTCCGTGGTAATTTACGGGCAGGGACAGTTACGGAAACCAAACGCGTCACCGGAGCGATTCCTTGTGGGCTGGAGGCAACGCCTCCCGGCATCACCTTACCTACGGGAGGAGGCAAAGCTTCACGCTCCTCAGCAACGCCCTCACGTCCTTCCCACCTCACAGCACGCGAACCCGGCCAGTGCTCGCTGCTGCTCCCCCCGCAGCCCCCTCCCCTGCCGGGGCACAGCGCCAGCCCCGTGCAGCATTACAGGGATTACCAAGTCCTACGAGCAGCGCGGTGCCGTGGCTGAGCGCAGCGGAAGGCCGGCAGGGGGCGCTGTCTAAAATCAGAGCTGTCCTGTCAGCTTTTGTTCTATCGCGGATAGAAGCGCGCTCTGTGCTGAGCCGCCGCAGCAGCAGATTTTATTACGCGTTCTATTGCGCCACCCTGTGGTTAAAAGCGGTATTACAGGCATCGGCCGATGACAATTTGGACCTCACGATTGCATAAAATTAGGCTGCCTGGAATTAGCGGCGGTAACTCGTACCGCCCGGCTTCACGTATTCTATTTGGCCAGCCTAAAGCTCTGCAGGGCTTTAATCGTTCTCCAAAAAACACACGTCACTGTATGAGATGAAATCCCACTAGGTAAGATGTGAACGGAGCTAGCACACTCATTTATTGTTCCACGTTTCCAAGAAATCACCTTATCTCTGCCCTTTCTGACAAAAAGCCTTGGCTACGTATTCGATACCTTGGCCACATACACAGCTTTCGTACAAGGAACCATAAAGGCACACTTTCCCTTTAGACAGCATTCATACTCTAAGGAGGCTTTCCAAAAAGAGAGAAGCAGCACACCATAATCTACACACAAACATGGCAGACTCCAAGGTTGAATGTATATGCATTAACTGCAGTTGTGCTCTCATCTCCTACTGAATTATCAACGATTATTTTTCCCAGGTCAAGGAATGCAACATTTTCTGCTACACTATTCCTCCCACCTCAGCAGAATGGCATTGGAAGCTCATAGCTGCAGGTGATTTGAGGGACTGCAATTACCCTTCAGTTAGTCCTAAGCCAAGGCTCCAGCCTACCGGCCCCAGAGTGCAGAGGAATAGCTCCAATGACACATGAAATTGAGGTCTTAACCCCCTGACATCATCAGTAAGCTTTGGCATTTTTCTCACAATTAGTTGGATGAGAGGTCTACTTAGATCACAGCTGGGGAATTAGCACTGTTCATTAACAGCACATTTCCATTTCATCAAGCTGCAATACTTCAGGCCCCAAGCTAAGCAGCTGGATGTTCCTGCAGTTTAAAGAGCAGAGCCTTTAGGTAATACAGCTGATGAAGATAATAGATGTCACATATCCATTATGCCTTTGTTTAAGCCTTTCAGGAAGAAAGCAAGAGTAAGCTCCTTAAACAATGCTGCATTTTGGCCTCATTATATGCAACAAGAAACACTTAATAGCTATTTTGCTTCCCTCTTTGCCCCAGCCACAAGGAAACACCCATACCATTCTACATTCCTACCTAGGGGGCGATAAATTATGAAGAATTATGTTGTGCATGCCTTTGTGAGCGCTATCCTTTCAATGAATTGCTTAGGGAGGGCCCAGGAAAACTGAATATGGCTTTATAAATCAAGTACTCCAAACAACATCCAGAAACCGAGAGACATTATAGAATACTAGCTTTGCACTGATAGATGTTGTTTGTCAAGCAGAACGCTGCATTGTGTGCCAATTGATTTCCAAAAGGACTGAGAGCTATGTCAGCAGCCTGTATTTCAGACTTCCATCTTAGGAGATACTCAGTTTAGCCTTGCTTGACCTAAACAAAGCTGGCTGTGTTTCAACTTAATCTTAGCTTTCTTACCATCATTTCCTCAACGATTTTTCCTAGAAGAAAAGCAGTAATATCATGAAAGAAGCAAAGTCTTAGAAAGGGTGACAGTTTATTGAAAGGCTAAGAGATTATACAAAAAATAAATTACTCGCATAGAAAAGAGCTTCAGATGAGATTAACTTAAAAGTAGGCAAAGGTTTGATCCAGATGTGAAAAGCCTCTATCATCTGCACCTGAAAGACATAAGAATGCACTGTAAGAGCCACACCACTAAAACCTGCAGTCACAAGGAGATACACCATAGCAGGGAAGGCCTCAGGCCATTCATTCAGAGGCTCACTGTGCTTTTCAGCATTCAGATGAAGCACCAGCTCCCCAAAACTGAACCAAAAGCCTCATTCTGAGCCAATGGGAAACAATCTGCTGGCCCAATGAGCAACTCTGTGACCCTGCAGCAGCTCAATGTGTGACAGCAGCACTGCTATGCTGTGTTGACATAGAAGTATTTTATAAATCTCATTCATCTTTTCCTCATTCCACAGCTTATACCTGTTGTGCTGAAGGTTCCCATTAGATGGCACTGCAATTGCTCCTGTTGATTTGAAGGCAGTTTGAGAGGCTCGCATCAGAGCTGCATACCTACAAAGAAACACAGCCAGGCTCAGCACCACTTATACACACCTTCAGCCTCACTCTTCCATCCAGTTTAATTATCTGCATCTGACACGTAAGTTTTACACTCCTACTACACAGAACAAGGATGTCTTGTCTGCCTGCAAGAGATGTTTTAAGTTCAAAATTAGGTTAGGAAGCTATTGATTTTATCCCCAGTTACTTCAAGGTTCTGTGCAAAGCTTTAGGATTCCAGTATTTAGATCAAGAGCCCAAACAGTGCTTCAGACAGACAGCACCTGTTCTCAGGGCTTTTTAAAAAAAAGTCATGCTATCAAGTTAAGCAAGCTTGGGAGAGTTTTAGGAAGTTGTTTGAGAAGCTTTTTTCCTTGACTCAGACTATCAAGAATTATGCCCAAGATCCAAAAAGGAACTAAGGGCTATTTAACTCAAGTGACCAGTGGTCCACATCGTTCCTTATTTGTCTGAGCTCCCCACCAAGCCCTGATGTGAGCTCTGAAGTTTCAGCCTGGGCTCTGAGTACCACAGCTGCAGCTTACCCAGCCTTGGAGATGGGGCGGCTGCCTGCTTTACAGTCATGATCCAGAGGATGCCGATGCTTTATGCAGAAGTTGCCACCACACTGCTCACAAACTACTTTCATCATCTCTTTCCTTTTGCAGCCTGGCTTTAAGCACTTGTTTGTAAAGATCTAGATAACAGAGGACACGAAGTTAACAATGATTGTTTGCTTTCTGTGATCAGCTTCCCAGATAACAACCAGGCTGAAGCATGAATGCTGGATTGCCCTCAAAACAGAGATTGAACAGCCAGCTCCTACATGCTCTGCTTTCAGAAGACCTAGCTTGATAAGCATTAAAGCTGCTTAGATTCCAACAGCAGTTCCCATACCTTTTGCTGTGCTGGATTGTATTTGCAGTCCTTATCCATGTGGGCTCCAACCACAATATCTGGTACTTCACCCTTCTGTACAGGGACAGGTGCATTACAGAGTGGACACACTGGAACCTGCACATTCTGAGAGCACACCACACCAATTAGAAGCCTGACACTTATTGCTTTGCCCTTCCCTTTCTCTTACCCATGGGTGATGGAAAGTACATTCATAAGTATGTTATGTTCTATTCATTAATTCTCTTCAAGAGGATTTTTAGGAAGGCAGTTGTAAACCTGTATCCAAAAGCCAGAAGTGCTTTGCCAAATGAGTTTATAGTAGCATATCCAATAAATTCATTTTAAATATGATTCTGGAGTACTGAGCACTACATGCAGTCAAGTATCAGCCAGAGATCAGCGTTCTCCCTCACTTACTCAATTTATTTCTTCTGCAGTAAGTCTTAGGCCACACTACATTACTGAGAGTATCAAGCACTTCTCTTTGTGAAGAGGCAAAACAAGTGAGAAGAATGACAATCTAATAATGAGCTCAGAAAGGCTGTGCTTCGATACAGCAGAATTCCAGCTGTATCATTAGCTGATACCTCTTGGCTCTTCCACCTGCTTTCATAGAAACCACAGGTGGAGGCTCAGAGCAGCCTTCCTGCATGACTGGGTGACCTGCAGTGGCACTCACTGACTCACACAGGAACTCACTTTCTTGTATGCAGAGCTACAGCTGTGCTCATCATAGCGGATGTGGTCCTTGCAGAAGACTTCTCCACAGGCGTCACATCTCAGAGGAAGGAAATCTGGGAGATGAAAAGAGACAGAAATGGATTCTCATAGAGCAGAGCTGAGTGCTTCACAGTGTAGTGCTGGAGGCACATTACAAAGCAAGGCATTGTTTTTGCCTAAACTCTTCCTGTTGATACCTGGGTTTTGTCATTTCCCACGAACAGGGGAAAAGAAGATTAAGTGGCAGTCTAATGCAGGCAGACCAAGCACAAGCCACGTGGAGCTCAGGACACTTTTAGCAAGTCATTAGTCATAAAACAGGTCAAAATACAAAGCCATGGCCCAGAGCAGAAGCCATTCATTAGAAAGCAGGAGTTCCTTAATTTCATCAACAACATCTCAGAACAAAACACTGTGCCCTCAGCGATTCTTCCTATTTAAGGGGCATTCAGGGTGCTACATAAAAAGCCACAACACCTGCTCCTACCCAGCGCACCCCGACAGGGTCAGACCGACCAGAAGGGCACCGCGCACAGCATTCGGTCCCTGGGAACGCAGCGCCCACCCGGCGTGGGGACCATCGCAGCTGGGGGGAGGTGAGAGCAGCACAGCCCCTTCTAACGCACCCCCACCGGCTCCTTACCGAGCTGTCTGCATGTCCGCTCCGAGCAGTGCCGGCCCAGCCACGGCAGCTCCATGTCGATGCGATGCGATGCGATGCGGCGCGGCGCGGCGCGGCTCTATAAGCGCTCCCGCTGATTCAGCCCCGCGCCGCCTGCTGAGTCACGCTCCCGCCCTCCCGGCCACCCCCGATGACGTCACGGAGGAGCGAACCAATGGCGTTCCCCTCCCTCCGTCGCCGGCTGCGCTGCGCGTTAGGTGAAGGACCAATCAGCTGCCGGGACGGGAGTGCTGAGTCATGCCCAGGGCGGCGGGGCGCTGACGGAGCAGATGGGGCGCGGGGCGCAAACAGGAGCAGGGTTGGTGCCGGACCCTGCGGTTCCAACAGGAGACTACGGGGTATTTCGACGTGCTCCACGTGCTGGGTGCGTGGCACTGTGTTCGCTTTGCGTGGAGGTGGGGATGCCGGCTTGGTGATGTTGGTTACTGCAAGAGTGCCACGTGGCGCTCATGTGACTCCTGTGTGTGCGCTGACATCACGCCCCGCTCTGCCACGTAGATTAATTTTCCCACCTGGACTCAAAATGTTACCAACGATCCTCATTTAAAGCCCTTTCTCCAAAGAACAGCTGCAGTGGCAGTACAGTGCAGCCTCATGCAGTCCTTTGGATTGTGCTTCCATCTCCCTACCTGCAGCACAGGGGCTCTTTAGGTGTACGTGCCACATCCAGGCTGGGTTCACTCACAGCTCACCCTGGGACACGGCACAGCCCCGTGGGATGTCCCCCGTTTGGATGGCAGTGGTGTGAAAGGCAGTGCTGAACCCAGCTGAGCGCTGCCGTGCTGCCCAGTATGGCTGCAGGAATTTGGGTAGAGGAGCCTGGTGTCAGAAGAGACTTTCTGGGTCATCACACTCAGCGTCCATTGAGCACGTAGCTACTTCATGGAATTCCCTTCAGGAACAAACCAAACCTAGCATTAAAACTTTATTCCCATCAGAAGGCTGCCCCACATCTCCAGTGATCTCATGACAAAAAAAAAAAAAGCATCTTAAAGTTTCCAGTTTAAAAGTCTCCTTGGCCACCTGCCCTCAAGGCAGTGTTGTTCCTGGCTTATTTTCTCCTCACCATGTTTGAGGAAGAAGCAGCTGAAGGAATCAGGTTGACATTGCTTTCAATTTCTAAGGCTGTTGCCTGCCTTTGTCCTAGAAGAGAATTCTGTAGTTGTGGTGGATGTTTCCATCAGATGTCACACAGTGTTGATCTGCTGGTAGATGTTTCCATCACCATCACACGCTGTTGGTCTGCTGATGGTCAGCCACTTCCTTGGGTTGGGTTTGATGCAGAAGCTGCTGGTTCCAAGTCCAAGGAGAGCCTGAGCTTCTCAGCACACGGACATGTCTGGCATGGGGCAATGCAGTCACGCAGCATCTTCCATCAGATTCACTTGGCCACTGCTGTGTGGTTAAAAGGAGCTGAGCCAGCTTCACCACGTCCACTGGGGATGAGGTCAGAGCACGGCCTCACCCACTTTGTTCTTATCTCAGTTGGTTCTGACAGCTGGGGATGGGACAGTGTTGAACAGCATGACAAAACAGAAAAAAAAAAAAAAATCCAAATACAAACTACAGTGAAAAGTCCAGCCTCACATGGAGCTTCAAGACTTTCACTGCATTATACATTTATTCATCAGCACCATTACACTGTTTATAGAATATTCCAGGACATGGGCAGCACAAAGAAAATTCCACACCCACCCAGCGCCCAAAGGGACTGGGACCCCCAGAATCTGATGGGGAAGGCTTGCCCAGAGCAGTGGGGTGAGTGGGGCAGGAGGAAGAGGCTGATGCTGGCACGTGGGTTCATGGCACTCTGCAGCCTGCAGAGCTGCTGTGAAAGGGATCATGTTTTGTGGTGGGAAGGAGGAGCCCGCTGGTGGATGACAATGGGAACAGCTATGCACAGATTAGATACTCTTAAGGAAGTCTGTAAATCCCGAGTCTGGAAACCCATGAAGCACAGGCAGCCATCTTAATAGAAACGAGGATTAGAAATTAGCCGAGGTCTTTAGTGATATTTTTAGAAGTTTGCTCCTGACAGGTTAGGCTGCTGAGAACGGGAGGAACGCGCCGAACCCCGCATTACTCGGGAAGGGATCAGAGTGCAGCGTGTGATTAGAGGCTGGCTAGCTTAGCGACAAGGGGGATAGGTGGGTTAGAACTGGTTCAGGAGGAATTAGCAAGGGAAATTGCTTGAGAAGCAGAATTTGATTAAGGGCAGCCAACATGGATTTGTGAACGGAGAGCTCCGTGTAACCAACTCGCTGGGTTTGGGGGAGGTGTGGATGCTGTGCAGCCTGAGCTGCAGAGGGCCTTCAGCACAGCGGTGATGCTGGGGGGGACGGATGGGGTCACCTGCTTCCCTCCCTCTTTCCTCTCCACCCCTTCTACTTCTTTTCAGCATTTCTGTATTTTCTGTCCTCCATGGCTCTGCTCCTTGTCCTCTCCCTGTCTCCCTTGGGATTGCCTCTTGGTGGCTCTGCGGTTGGTAAATTGCCACCATCCATCCCACCTCACCAATATGGGATGTCTTTGGACCCGACCCGTACAGCATTCTAAAGGCGAATAAAACACCTCAGAAGACATTCATGCCCTTTCCCAGCTTTTCTTTCGAACAGGGCCCCCAAAACAATCTGGTCTGGAGAAGGACAGAAATGCCCCTTCCTACCAAGCTGCCTTACAATGAACCAAGATGCCCGCAGCCCAGGCATGCTGACATCCATCTCCTCTCCTCCCCGCGTGCCCCAGCACACCAGGCAGACACACACAACTGCCTGTCCATGGTGTCCCCAGGGCCACCTCATCCCCCACACCCACCTGCACCAGCCAGAAGCAGCCTGGTGGCCCCGTTAACACTCAGCTGGCCCCGGTTCACCTTTCCCTCTTCCAGGTCCCTGAACTCCCATCCCATCATCCTGCTTTTCTGCTCATAATTCCGTACCAAGCTTTTAAAACAGAATATTATTTTTATTGCAATGACCCCATGGTGCTACCAGTTCCCTCTGTGGAGGAGATGAGACATCTCCATTACACAGCTCAGATAAGTGTCTTAAAGAGACCACACATGGAGGAACCTAATGGTACCTATTTTTATTAGGATTATTACAGGAGGGGAAGTAAAGCAGCCCCGTCTCCCCACAGGATACTCCGTTCACAGCAGCAGACAGGGAAGAGAGATCTGTGGAGGCGGATCAGTTTTCCAAGAATATTAGCTACTGCTGCTCTAAAATTAGAGTCTAGGGAGAGCAGACAGGTTGACATAATTGAAAGGGCTGTCTTATGGGATGACATAGTTAAACGAGCCCATGATCAGCTTTGGAGTGACAGCTCAGCGCCTTCTTCTAATCCCCAAAGGAGCACCCAGTTGCAGGGCTGTGATTTAACTAGTCCTGGATCTTATCTTGTGACGGTGCCAATATTATTAGAACTCATTTCTAAAGAGTTGTCTCCAAAATCACCGTACATGAACAGACTGCTTTCGCAGGCATGGCTCTCTGCAGCTTCACCCTGCAAAGCTCATCATGGATGCAAACGCTCCTCTGCTGCCCATCTCACAGACCCCAAATCATCCCCATAGGCTGAACTGCAGGGGCAGACCCAGAAACAGGATTAAGAGCCTCATTTCGGGATGAAGCTGAAAAATGTCCTTGAGCCGCACATTTTATTCAGCATAATTTAATATCAAACACAAACTAACAAAGTTAGAGGTGAAATATAATAGCAGGAACCCCATAAAAAGTAACCTAATCTGTAAGATAAATAGACAACACTTTAGCCTGGGGAGATGGCAAATAAAAGAGAAATATGAGCAGAGCCGTTCTCAATTCATAAGTAACTTTAAAGAGAAGTAATGAAGATGACTTCTCCAACTTTTAATGTCCTAAAATTCCTCTCAACAACAACAACGAGAGGCAATTTTAATGCTTTCTTCATAAACTCTCACAGGGAGGATGGCTGCAGCCAAGTTGCCCGGACCATTCCTGCAGGGGCAAACACAGCTGTTGGCAGGAGCAAGCAGAAGAGATGGATGGAATGGCTCAGAGGGGCCAACCTGCAACCTCTGGTGGGGCCAAAGTGATGGAGCTCTGCTCATCCCAGGCTGCTTGCCCATGGCCACCTCCTGCTGCTTTGTTTCAGGTGCAGAACTCGGAGTATGCAGTGCCTGCATGGCAGCCTTAGCCAGACTCATTTTATTTCACTTTTTAGCTCGTTTTTGTTAGTGACTACTTAAGCTTCAAAGGCTGGGATTTTCCTAGCAGCCTAATGCATTTAGGCACCTAAATCCCGTTGCACTTTGGGGCTGTATCAGGCCTTCGGCTGCTTGGTGGATCCCTGCTGAGTGCCTAAGGCGACCTCCCTAGAAAAGAACCAGATTGACACAGATATCATTGTATCAGCATGAGCTCCTTTCTTCCATAGAAGAGCCTCTTGTTTAAACCCCCTTCCTAAAATGACGAAGCAAACTGGAAAGAGCCTTGTCTGCTGGGTGATTTCCAGCAGCACGTACCTGTAGGGGAATGTTACATTCTCTCCTCAGGTTATACTGAAGGTAAGCTTTGCTATGTAGGCTGAACTTCTTCAATTAAAGAGAACAAGCCCTCCTAATCCCCTGCTCTTAGCTCTCCCAGGGAAACCTCAGGGCTGCTAAGGAGGAGCAGATTTGTTGATTTAGAGGCAAAACCCAAACTTACCGTGCCTCCCACTGCCTGTCCAACCCCTGCTATAGATTCAGCCCTTTGGAGCATCCAGGCAGAGAGGAAGGAAGTGGTTTTCCCATCTTCAGTATTGCTGTATAATATAGGAGGAACAAAACCCAGCAAAACTGAGCCACCTTTATAATAGCAGTGGAAAAATAATCCAGTGTTGGGTGGTTTCTGGTCACAGATCAAACACTGACATCTTACAGCACCACTGCAGAGATGTAGCAGGGAACCGACCTGGGTCTCGGTGATGACCTTCCCAGGATAATGACTGCACCTGCATTGGGTTTGCACTGCACCTGGCACAGCAATGGACCCAGCTTACTGGTACTGAGCCCCACCTGCCAGCACACTGCCATGGTCCCATCCATCAC